CCGTCTCCTGGTGATTAGCCCAAAGTCACCCAGCCAGCTTTCATGCTTAAGGCGGGACTAGAACTCACCATCTCTTGGTGATTAGCCCAAAGTCTCCCAGCCAGCTGTCAGTACCGTTGTAACATCGAACAGTCACTAAATGAAGTAAGTTGAGGAATACCTGTGTCCGTGGGCCACCAGAGGCCTCCTTAGGTATGACTATCTAAAGACATAGAGCCCTCAGAAATAAAATCCCCATAGAGTACACCACTTCACTTAGTGACCATTCGAACTTACAACAGCCCTGAAAAGGGGACTTGCGACTAGTCTTCACACTTAACGACCGTTGCATATCCCCCCCCCCCGGTCATGTGATCCAAATTCAGACGCATAACAACTGATTCCTATTTATGACGGTCACGGCATCCCGGGGTCACATGATCCCCCTTTTTGCGACCTTCTGACAAGCAAAGTCAAGGTTGAAGCCGGATTCCCTTAATGACCCTCGTTATTCATTTAACAACAGCAGGGATTCCCTGAACAGCTTTGGCAAGTAAGGTCGTAAAAACGGGCCCAAGCTCACTTAGCAACTGTCTTGTTTAGTGTTGTGGTTAGCCGGCAGCAGGTTTGGACGGCTGAGGAGAGCGAGGACTCAGATGAGGGGCCAGGACCATCAGGGAGTGGACTGCTGCCTTCGGAGATTGTGGGGGGCTGGCAGCAGCGATGAGGAGGTTCCTGAGGAGCCTGTGCCAAGTGCATGTGTGCGCAGGGCTGCGCGCAGGAAAGAACAGCTATAACAGCACGGGCGACTCGGGAGTAAGGCTGCAAGGTGATGGCCCCTCCTTCAAGAAGATAAAAGCCAGCTGTGAATCGGACGTTCTTCGCAGGAAGCAAAGACGTTTTTGAAACTCAGCCTCGTGGACATTACAGTAACTTAATTTGGTATTTGAAGACTCTGGTGTTGTGAAATATTTCTTATCTGCGATTCTTGGCAGCCTCGCACGGTTTTGGCGAGGTTTATGTTTATCAAAGTTAATTAGTTTGCAGCAGCCTTTTAACCGGGGATTCGTAAGAATCATGAAAAGGTTTCTGTTCCCTTTGATGATTGCTTGTCTTACTAGAAAAGGGTTTGGGTCAGAACACTTAGCGACAGGAATTTTGGACTCAATTTATGTCCGTAGGTCGAGGACTACAGGCATTCAAGGTCCTCTTTCAACGTCACTTGCTGTTTTTTTCCCCCATGTGCCTCTTTGGTGAAATTATGGTGTTTGGGGTGTCAACTGTTGAACTGAAGGTTGCCCAAGGCCAAACCCATCTTGCTGGCTTGCTTCTTCGGCACCTTCACGGCCTCCCTGTCTCCCACCCAGGTGTACCTCCACAACCTGGGCATTGATCAGTCGCCTTCTTCGATTCTGACTCCGTTCATGCCTCGGGGACCCATGCGAGAAATTGAATTCTCTCCGACGGATCTCCGGACGTTGAAAGCATCGTCGGATTTATCCCGCCTGCACCTTTCGGAAGGTACGCTGGGGAAACTTGTCTTGGGCCTCACCGGAGGGGATTAGGTTGATCTGGCAGGTGGGTTGAGTTGGGCAGGAAAAAAAAAATGGAAGAATGAATGAATATTGTTTCCATCTTTGTGCATGTAAGGTAAGATATGACCTTTATAGTCACTTTTCCTGTACACACGTTAAAAATGAAATTCTGATGCCTGCTCTCAAAAGAATGTCTCTCTCTGTGTGTGTATACACATACCCACACACCCATACATACACCCATAGAAGATGCTATATGGAATAGACTAGACCTAGACCTGGGAATAGGAATGGGAACGGAACAGAACAGAACAGAACAGAATTCTTTATTGGCCAAGTGTGGTTGGACACACAAGGAATTTGTCTTTGGTGCAGATGCTCTCAGTGTCCATAAAATAAAAGATACATTCATAGAGAGTCAATAATCGTCAGGTACAACACTTAATAATATATATTACATACATACATACATACATACATACATACATACATACATACATACATATAAAATAGAAATACCTCTCACGCATCATCACAAAACCTCCAGAACCGCAAAGCCTGCAAACTTTAAATTCAGCACATCTATGTTCCTTTTGGCTTCTAGGGGCACATCTATGTTCCTTTTGGCTTCTAGGGGCTCACTAAGAAAGGATTTTTCCAAAGGATCCTCAGGGTATTTAGAGTATTTCCTATATTATTATTATTAACACGCTCTGATGCTAAGGAGTTCTACTTCCCCTTCCCGCCTGAAGAGAAATCTCTCGCTAAGGCAAAACACAAGCAGAGGAGTTTCAGTTTTAGATCCACAGCAGCACCAAGCAGCTTTAGGACAGAACAGTTGAGCTAAGCCACGCCCAGGCTCCTTGCTGTCTCCTTGCTCAGACAGCAAATACTCTTTCAGTTTCCAAACAGCCCTCAACTCTCACACACTGACAGGACGCTAGCCAGATGAATACCGATGGATGCTGGTAGGCAGAGGCAGAATTTTTTTTCTCCTTATTTTCCTCCCCAAAAAGTAAACTCAATCGCATAGTTTTGTAGTGAAGCATAGGTATCAATCTTTGTGCGTGTGTGCATGTGTGTGTCTATGTATTTATACATACACACACGTACACATACACACACACACACACATACATGCACATATTAATCACAGTCCATTTTGAATATATAACAGAAAAAAGAGCCTTGAGAGTTAATAAGGTTGATATTATATTCTACACACTATATACTATGTTCTGTGTGCTATAATATACCATATACGCTATATCCTATATATATATTTCTTGAAGACCTTTTGCTTCTCATCCAAGAAGCTTCTTCAGGTCGAACTGGAGAAGAACGGAAGAAGCTTCTTGCATGAGAAGCGACACGTTTTCAGAAAAATCAAGCAAGAAAGTCCAGTTAGCTTTTTGGAAAAAGCACCACTGGGACAGAACCAGGACAGCCTTATGTGCAAATTTGGGGGTGCCCAGGCCGGGCTCTAGAAGCTCACCATAACTCCAGAGCAGTGGTGGGATTCAAATATTTTTACTATCGGTTCTGTGGGCGTGGCTTGGTGGGCGTGGCAGGGGAAGGATGTACTGCAAAATCCCCCTTCCCTCCCCACCCCACTGACCTGCTTTCCAGCTCCCTTCTCCTGTGCAGGGCAACCAAAGGAGACCCAGCCGATCAGCCGGGACTCGATGGGAGACAGGCAAGAGATGGGGTTGGTGGGGCCAGTCGGAGGTGGGATTGGCCGGTTCTCCCAAATACTCCAAATAATACCACCTCTGGAATCGACCCTAATCGGACAATCTGACATCCTTTAATTGTCTTTCCAAAGACTCGCACTCTCCGAAAGACGCCACGCAGTTGACCTTCGACTCTTCGCTGCTGGGTGGACCCTCTCTGGCAGGATCGACCGTTGTCTCTGACTCGTCACAACCTGCCAAGCCTTCTCCGCAACAGACCAGTGATCTCCAGCTGAGCGGCTCTCCCTGGCACCCTTGTGCTGTCACATCCCCGCGCACCACCTCTGTTCCCGAGTCCCAGTCTGCTCCCGGTTCAACCAAAGAGACTCAAGTCATCCCAGGATCTCCCTCCAGCTTGGAAAGATCCACAACACGTCTGTCGTCGCCAGAGGACAATTTAGACCCGGCCAAACTCGGCGCGAGTCGAGTAAAATCCGGGTCTTCGTCTCAGGACCGTGATGAGAAGCCTGCAAGCGAAGGAATCCGATCTTCGGGCACAATTCCTGGTGGAGAGAGAGACGATTCCTTCCCAAGGTCAAACATCCCAGAAGAGAGTCAGAAGCTTCCAGCAGAGGTTGACTCCAGACCTTCCAGTACAAAATTCAGATCTCGTTTATCCCTCTCTTCTTCTTCTTCCGGTTCGCTAAAACCAATCGACCGCGACGATTTATCCGGAGATCCTGGATCGATCCAGAGAAGCACGCTAGGCATTCAAAGAGGCTGGTCGTGGGATGAGGCCATGGACAAGCAGGAGATAACCGGTAGCTTAAAATGGGAAGATCTGCAGAGGGTGGACTTCTTCGCCGAGGAGCCAGCGGTATCTCGAGAGCTCAGGCCGGGATCCCAGAGAGCGAACGAAGACGGCGGGAGGATGCAACCCCTTGCGCGATCCGATCCCGAAGGTTGCCCCAGGACGGCTGTGAATCGGAATCTCCCCATTCCAACAGGCGGGTCTACAGATAGTCAAGCAAGCCCTTCTTCTCCAACCCTCCAAGAGATCCGGTCCGTTTCCAATACGGACGACGTGTCTAAACTCTTGAGAGATTTCCCGCGAGCCGAGCAGAAAGCGAACGGAAGTCATCCGAAAGAGATTGGCGGCTCGCAGGAAAGCGCCGAGAGCAGCAGCGTGGACTCTCTGGGCCTCAGAGTGAAGAAACTTCTCCAGTATGGACATCCTGCGATGCACCGAACGCCTCGGATGGAGGAGCGCGATGGGTCCAGTGCGAAAGAGCCCTCTGTGTCGGGCACCGGCTCAGCGTTCCGCAGAGGGGACGTCGGTGCCCAAGGAAGCAATAACGGGAGCAGCATGGACTCGTTGGCGATACGGGTCCAAACCCTCCTGGAGGAGGAGCAGCCTGTGCTGCATGCAACTCAGATACTCCGGAGCGTAGAGGAAGAAGAAGAGAAAGCCCGCGGTAAGGACGCTCCACGTCGTGTGATTTGTTGATCAGCTTTATCTGCCACGTTTTATTTATTTTATATATTTGTAACCCACCTTTATTACTGCTTTACACATACCTCAAGGTGGTGAACATATCCAACGCACCTTCCTCCTGCTATTTTCCCCACAACAACAACCCTGCGAGGGGGGCTGGGCTCAGAGAGAGTGACAGAGAGACAGAGAGAGACAGACACAAAGAAAGAGAGAGAGAGAGGGAGGGAGAGGGAGAGATTTTGGTGGCCCAAAGTCACCCAGTTGGTTTGCATGCCTGGGATGGGACTAGAACTCACTGTCTCCTGGTGATTGGTCCAAAGTCACCTAGCCAGCTTTCATTCTAAGGCGGGACTAGAACTCCCCGTCTCCTGGTGATTGGCCCAAAGTCACCCAGCCACCTTTCATGCCTAAGGCGGGACTAGAACTCCCCGTCTCCTGGTGATTGGCCCAAAGTCACCCAGCCAGCTTTCATGCTTAAGGTAGGATTAGAACTCACCATCTCCTGGTGGTTGGGCCAAAATTACCCAGCCCCCTCTCCTGCCTAAGGCGGGACTAGAACTCCCCGTCTCCTGGTAATTGGCCCAACGTCACCCAGCCAGCTTTCATGCTTAAGGTAGGACTAGAACTCACCATCTCCTGGTGGTTGGGCCAAAGTCACCCAGCTGGCTCTCATGCCTAAGGCGGGACTAGAACTCCCCGTCTCCTGGTAATTGGCCCAAAGTCACCCAGCCGGCTTTTGTGCCTGAGGCAAGACTAGAATTCAGAGCCTTAGTATCCCTTGAACATGGTTAATTGGGTCCAACCCGACCATGCCAGATTATTTTTTCTTTTCAATTGTACTTGGAAACGAAGGAGAGGCAAAGGATTTCCGGAGCTTCGGTGGAAAGACTCGTTTGCTGTTAAGGACAATTATGTCCCGCGGGAGTTGCTACGTCAGAGGGTTGTATAATTGATATTTTCAGTAATTAGTAATCCGTTTACAAAACACAACTGATTTCCTGAGAGCAAACCTGCTACCGTTGCTCCCTCTGCCTCTCTGTCTCTTCCTTTCCCCTTCTTCCCTTCTTCTCCTTTTCTCTCCTCCCTTTCCCTCCCTCGCTCTCTTTCCGTCTCCTTCCCTCTTCCCTTGCTCCCTCTTTCTCTCCATCTCTTCCTTTCCCTTCCTTTCTCTCTCTCTTTCTCTCCTCCCTTTCCCTCCCTCGCTCCCTTTCCGTCTCCTTCCCTCTTCCCTTGCTCCCTCTGTCTCTCCATCTCTTCCTTTCCCTTCCTCCCTTTCTCTCCTTTTCTCTCCTCCCTTTCTCTCCCTCGCTCTTTCCGTCTCCTTCCCTCTTCCCTTGCTCCCTCTTTCTCTCCGTCTCTTCCTTTCCCCTTCCTCCCTTTCTCTCTCTCTCTCTTTCTCTCCTTTTCTCTCTCTCCTTCTGCCTCTCTCCCTCTCACAGCCTGGGTGAAACTAAAACTGGCTACGGAGCCTCACTACTTCATTCCTGAGCTGACCGAAGAAGACAGGCAGATGATAGAACGGATGAAGAGAGAGCAGCTTTCGACTTCTGGAGAAACCGAACATCTGGAGGTAAAACTCCAAAGTTGAGTGGGGAAGGGCGACAGTTACACACAAGCATTGAGACCTGGACTAATCTCGTACGTTTTTGCTTGCAGGAAACTTTTCTCACATCAGCCATTTTCTAAGTAATAAAAGGGGGCGGGGAAGTTTACCACTAATGTCTTCCCAATAACGTGACTCTTATGGAGATGAAATTTCCATCTGATAAAGTTCTGAAGTTCTGCTTAAAGAAATGGTACCATTCATAGCATCTCTTCTGATGTTGGTCTTGTCTGTTTCCAGCCTGAGCTCAGGACGGCTGCGACGCTTGGGCTGGCCCAGGGGTGGGCTTCCTGGTGTGTGGTTTTCTGGCGTGTTTCGAAGCAGGCACATGAATGCTCCCTGCCTCCTCCTCCTCCTCCTCCTCCTCCTTCTCCTCCTCCTCCTCCTCCTCCT